TTTTTTTTTTTTTTTTTTTTTTTTTTTTTTTTTGATCTTACTGCATTGTTTTTTTATTTTTGAAGCTTTTACATTGTGCACTGTAACAGCTAATTGACTCCTCGATCGCTCGAGATTTTTAGCTTTTATTTGTAATGCTTTTGTTCATTAGTATTTTTGTGTTGAAGAAAGCCAAAATTTTAAGAACATTAGCAACAGAAGAAGCAATAGCGGTAAAGGAACACCAGTTTCGATCAATTTTCCGTTTCATTACTTTTGTTGTTCCTTTTTTTCATGCCTTTTTTACTCGGTTGCTGATAGTGTAAAGATGGCGTTGTTGTGGATGTTGCTTGGTGGTTGAATGATTGTTGGATAAATAGGTGAGTGGAATACATGAAGGTTGCGATAAGAACAACAGTAACGGCGACAACAGGTACCTGGAGTAAAGTGAGTATAGTTTTCGTCTTGAGTAATCCAAAAACTTGTAAATTTCGATTTACTCATTTATCCATTTCTCCCATAATCGTGTAGCTAACTTTCGAACGGTTGGTAGTTTACTAGAAATTAGTAAACGGGGTTATCTTTGTATTTTTTATTTTTGTTTTTCGTTTTCTTGCCTAAAAAACTGCAGTTCATTTGTTTTCAGTTTGCTTTTTTTTTTTTTTTATCATTCATTTATTCACCGTTTTTATGCGTTTCAGAGATTTCATTTTTTATTTTTTATTCTAGTTCATTCAAAACGCTCTTGTAGGTATCCTACACTTTTTCTCACATAATCTATTAATATCCGGAAAAAAATAATGCTCATTTTGCTATTACTGTTGTTGTTGTTTCTTCCTTTTTATTTATTTATTGTTTTGATTTGGTAAAAGGAAAGAAGGGGTTCTTTGATATTTCGCCTTTTCTTTTTTTCGCTTTGTTTTTTATTTGGTGTTAATGACATTCAAAAAATGCATCGCATCGTCATTACCTTTTCATTTTTTTTTTCCAAGGTGGTAGGTGTTTTGGTATTGGATCGATATGGAGAACACAGGAAGGAAAGGGTGGTCAAGTTGGGTTTTTCGCGTTTCTCGCTGTCGCTTCTTGATGATGATGATGCTTTTCAACTTTCCGTTCGTCTTGATCCTGCTGCTGTTGTTGACGGAATGAGTAAAGCTAGCAGCAGGAGAAGAAAGGACTAAAATAAAGTATCAGTTTTACGAAAGGAAGTGGTTCATGGATTGAAATGGTCGAGAACGCCTCTTCTGTTTTATTTATTTCTTCAGATTTATCTGTTTCATTACCATGATTTAGCGTAAACTGCAGAAGATGTATATAAATTCTGTTTTTTTTTCTATTTCGTTTCTTTCCACCTTTGTCTGGACAGTTTAATTTTGCGCTTTATCTGCTTGCTTCAGTGTTAATTTTTTTGACTAAGCATTTATTATATCAAAGGTTGTTTATTCATTTTTCCCGCCTTATGTAGAAAGACCTCAGCAAACTTTTTTCAGTTGTAAAGTGAAAAAAATTTTGTTACTAGAGTTCTTTTCATTTTTTTCTTTTTACTATTTTGCTCTTCTGGTCCGTTGCTTGAAGTTTCGTGGTTTGTGGATAACGTCATGAATTTGTTCATTGAACAGTTCATGTGTGTTTGTGTGTATGTGTATATCAACTTTGATTGAACTGTTTTTTTCTTTTGAAATTTTATTTTTGTTGATGGTAAAACATGTTTTTGGCTTCTTGTAAATACCAGAACGAGTTTCCTTCGAG